CGCCTCCCCCAGCTCCGAGCCCCGACCCTGCCAGCTCCCTTCATCTCCTCGGTCCTGGTCTGACCTCTCCTCTGCGCCGTCTCGGGGCGTCTCTGCCTCGCCAGCTGAGCTTCCGCAGCAAGACCCCTACCTCTTGTCTGTAATTATGCGGGAGGCCCAGCCAGGGGCGTCAGGGCCAAGCCAGAGTCCAGGGTGGCGGCGGGGCCGGCGCAGTGAGGGGTGGCGGGTGCCAGTGCAGCCTGCTCGTGACCGCAGCCCTGCTCAGCAGCCCGCCTGTCGCCAGGCCGCCCTCCCCGGTGAGCGCGCCCCGATCTGCCTGACGTCGTCTTTGCAGACTGAGACACCTGTGCTGCTTGTGTATCTGCGCTGCCGGGGTGTGAGTGCAGGGGGCTGCCGTCAGGAGCGGTGCGGCCACCCTCCCTCGGCCTCGTCTCCGCACCCGCACCCCACAGGACAGCCCCTGCCGCCGCCGCCTGAGCCTGTGATGGCCTCCCACCGGCCGTGTGGCCCTGACTTAGCCGCTCTCCTGATCTGACTTCAGCTCCCACCAAGCCGCGTGACAGCGCCTGACCTGCCCACGCCACCTCGCAGGTGCCCGGCACCCCTGACCCTCCACAGACACCCCGGTGCCCGCTGCCTCAGCCTCGGACCTTGTCACCCTGGAGCCCCCAGGAAATGCCCGGACACTCGGCCCTTCTGTACTGGAATGAGGACAGAACAGCTCACGTTTAAAACAAGCCCCGAGCAACAGGCAAGAAAATCATGATAATGATGAACAGCTATAGGCCAGAGACATTTTGTGGGGTGCAGTGGGGAATGGGATCGGAAGCAGCGAGAGGAGGGAAATGCACTGGACGATGGTGATGGCACAGGGTAATCTGGTGATGGGAAGCCCACGGGGATGACAGCTGAGATGGAAAGAGGCACAAAATGATGTAAAATAAACTATTATAAAATTAAAAAAAAAAAAAAAAGCCCCGAGCTGGGACACAGCAACAAGCCCAGTGCCCCGGCGAGGACGGGATCACCGCCGGCCTCTCCACGCCGTCGAGCGCTGTCCTCTCCGGACCACATCATCCCTGGAAGGCGAGTCAGCCACGGGCGGAGACAGACTTGCCGCGCAGCAAAGCACAAGGGGTGCAGGTGCAACCGCAGCCGCCCGGGAGCCGGTTAACAAGCAGCGGACTTAGCAGCAGCAGACACCAGTTCGCGAAGTGGGGTTCCTGGGGCTAGGAGGCGAGGCGAGGGGAGGGCGGAGGCTGGGGAAGAAAACAGGGAGGAACCTGACGGCATGAGCGGC